ATGAAGTCCTTCATCTGCCGCAGAAACTTGAAGAAGTATGCCGGGGGTGACGCTGACGCCATGTCCACGCAATAGTAGCAACAGGCCAAGCCCTAGGCCCATCACCCTTTAGTTGGAGTCCTTGTTTTCAGGTGCAACCAAACACGGTCTAACATTGTTTGGATTTTAAAATAGGATCCTGACTATAATGTTAGAAAGTTGGAAAAACTTATAACCAATCGACTGGTAACATCATAGTGATAACCAATCAGGTGGGATTTTCATCGGTTTGATTGATCTAAACATTTTCAATATTATAGATTTCTCCTTTAAAATAACGTTGCCGTTCACACTGATTGGAAGTAGATGGTTTTAAAATATAACAATTATCTTGCTGTATGCTTTAAAAACTTCAATAATAGGTTTGTTGAAATTTTCATTTTTCTATTAGAAACTTACGATAATCAATAATCATTTTGTAGGAGGGGTAAGTCTTGGTTAGGGAATGGTCTCTTTGAAAGACAGAGAGAGGCCTATGAGTAGGGAAAATGAGCTTTTGGGGTTAAGGATGTGAAGGCAAGGGATTAGAGAGGGAGAGTGCTCGAGAGTGTTGGGTGCCAAATGCTAAGGATCGGATGAATTTCAATAGGAAGAGGACCTCCATTTATGGGGGAGATCCTAAGATCCTAAAAGGTAGGAGATAAGGGTATTTGCATCATATCGGAAAAGAGAATATTGGATCCGTTGTCAATTATTAAGTGCGCTACCGGGGTTTCACCATGTGTCTCATGAGGATCTTTTTTATGATTGACTTTGCTTCTCCTTAAGATTCCTCATTACTCACGTGTACTACTACCTTTTGCACGGTTTAACTTAATTGACGTGGCAGTAATGACATCACCACTTGGCGGGCACCGCTTTGCCAACTCCACGTGGCACTTCGTCACGTCTTTTGTTGTCGTAGGTTCCACGTGCCTTCGGGCACACGTAGGCCTCACCATGGGCTTGACCTGGGTTTCTCTTGATCTGGGTTACGAGTGGGTTTGTAAGCTATTGGTTTATTGCACATTGTGGTGGGCGTGGGTTCATTGCACGCTCGAATAGGCTTGAGGCCCTTGGATGGGTTCGATCATGATTTCCCTTGGTTCAGGCACCGAATAGGCCTGGTGGACTGCAAGTTTATCACGATTTTGTGATACACGTTGTGATTTCATTGCGGAATTGATGGTTTATTGCATGTTCATTGTAGAATGGAGATTAACTGTGGGTTGTTCGCATGCACATTTGCGGTGTTAATCTTGATATTTGATATTCTCTGAGAGTCTTAGCGAACACTGCATACTTACACATTTATTTATGAATTGAATGTTCTTATTATTATTTTAAATTAATTGATTAATGATTTTTCCTATTTGAACTTCTCTTTCATGAATATGAAAATGTAGAAAAGGTATTATTGAAATGAATGATCGCGGCCGATAATAGAAAAGATTATAAGTTATAAACTACAATGTTCGTTGTTATTATTAATGGGTTGGTAAACAGTTTTTATTCTTATCATGGTTCATGAATCATGAGCGTTGGTTGTGTTCCTCTTCATATATGCAATTTTTTAACAAAATGGTTTCAATGTTTAATTTGGACCTAATTAATCTCCATTGGACCAAGCCGAACCCCAACCATTCATTGCAATATTGTTTGGTATCGTTTCATTGGGCTTGTTATGAGCCCAACAACGTGCCAAGCTGAGCTGTGAAAAGAATGCTTTTACGGCTGTGCCGACCCATTTTGTCCCATTCTTAATGGACGACTAACATGGTTCAAGCCTGAACCCATATTATGTAAGTTCAACGGTCTAGCACTCTAGTGTTAATTTTTGGGCCGCGTGGTGGATTCCCGGAAGAAATAAACCCGGGCCTAGCTTATGCAATTTGCAACCAAAGATTCTAATCGGACAGACCTACTTTATTTTAGGCCTGCATTATTTGTTTTTCTTTTTTTTTATTTTTCGAAAGCCATTAGCATTATTTGGTTATTAGAAGGGAATCCATTGCAGGCTTTGTTAACAGAAAGCTAAATAATAGAAATATATAAGAGTATATAATTATTTTATATTTAAACTTTTTAATAACTAATTCGATTGAACTCGATTCAAGTTGGTTGATTTTCTAGTAGTTTAGATCAGCTTTGATTCAACAATTTTCCAATCTGACCAAGTTAGGTCAGTTTTGGTTTGGCTATTTGTAAATCGATTCGGCCATATATATATATATATATATTATATTTTAAATATGGTTTTTTAATATGAGAAAGGTGAAAAATTCCCATGTTTTTTAGACTAAATTATTTTATATCATAAATCTAATTATTTTTGTTTATTTTTTAATAATATCATTGTAATTTATTAAATTCAAATTTAATTTATAAGTTTAAATATTTTGAACAAACAAACCAAATCGAAAATAGACCCAAATCGGTGGGCTTTCACTAATGGTCAATTAGTTTCGGGTGACAAACTCCTGACTTGACTAAGTCAATTTAGTAGGCAAAACAGCCTAGCTACAACCGAACTTAACCAATCCATGAACACTCCTAATTTAAGCTAAATTAATAGTTTAATATCCAATAATTATTAAAAGTTTATAATAAAAATACACATTTATAATGAAAATACAATAATTAGAAAAACACAATAAATACTGAAAATTTTGACATAATTGTAAGTAAACCCCCTCTTAATGCCTTTCTAATATAGGAGGTCTACTTGCAACAGTTAGGGAGATTTTAGCAACTTACCTAAAAAGACCCTCTTATCCGAAGATTTATGCTATTCGATTGGATTGGGTCCAGACCACAGACCACAGTCATCCTGTACATGTTCCGTTCACATCTTCTTTCCAATTGCTATAGGGGCAAACTGCAAAGCAAAGATTGATGATTTAATTCTACTCTTCCCATTGCTCATTAATTAACGAGCTAAAAGAGACTTAAGCCTGGCTTTAATAACAGCCAGAATGAAAAAGCTCTGGGCAAAGGGCTGACGCCCTGCTTGATACTTCATTTTCCAACTTCATAACTTAAAGTTGCTCCAGGCGGGTTGCAGTCCTTGCAGAAGCACAAACTGAACACCCACCACCAATCCCCTCTGTATTTCCATCTCCATTAATGGCGCCCAAGCTTCAGATCTCTGAATTAGTCGTTTTATGGAATTTGTTAGGCACTTTAAGCCATGTATATATCAAAGGGGTTCAACACAAAGGAAGATAATGCAATATATGTTGAGAGGGACCCAACTTTTAGCGATGATCACTGAGCTACGTACAAAGTTAAGAAGCTAACATATTTCTTATTGTCTCAATTTTTGTACCAATAAGTTATATTGAACACACATTGTGTTTATTTATTTATTTTTTCTATTAAGTTATATACATGTTAGGGCTGGTTTAGCCAGCGGGATCATTCCAGCATTATCATCAAGGATAAGGCCACAGTTGATGTCAATACCATCATTATTGTCAAATGTCTAAACATCAATATATTATCCCCAAACAGTTTCAACCCTAACTTCGATTTGGTGACTAATGGAATGGAGAATTGAGAGAAGAAACTTATGGCTTAATCTTCAATGGTGGAACAGATTCCAAGCCCTAATAGCTTTTGACCCAACTAACCCTTACCCTTTATGACCCAATGGGTACCCTTAATCTAACTGGCCCTGACCCTTTACCACCCAACCCACTTTGACCCTCTTCCCCTGACTCTAATGTGTCACTTGACTCATACGACCGGCTTCTGGAATGGGTGGATTTTGTAGGCTCATTTTTTGGTAGCAGTTAATATACACGTTTATTTTGCACACAAAAACAAAGGAAAAAAAAGGGTTTTCTAATCCAAACCCCATTTACAAATAAGTCCAGTTTCATTCTTGTGATTCCCGAAAACTTTAGAAATTATGTTAAACCCCCCTTATTTTATTGAGGATGAAGGAACTTAATTTTCTATCAAAGATTCCATGTGGACAAGTGGCAATTAAGTAAAGAAACGCAAAATCACATGGTGACCCACCCACATCACTTCTACCAAAGTAAAACCACATAGACTTATGACAATTTTTATTACGAAAATTGTTTTAATATTGTTATTTTTCAAATTACTAGTAAAATGTGTGATGAACGGTAGGTATCATACGGCATTGACCATTGAATTTTTTGAGGGATACTGCTGACTCACCCATGCATTTTGTGACCACTTATACTTGTTTTTTATTACATGAAGTGATTGTTTCTTAGTCAACCCACTTCATCGTCAACACTGGCTTTTTAGTCAATCCCTGGAATGAAAGATTGGAATTATCCTGGTGGCTTTTCATACACCTCAAAAGAATCACATTCTTGCAAATTAAGGAGGAGAATGGCCGGAGATCTTCTCATCGGCGTTGTTGCTCCGGAAATCTTGAGCAGGGTGATCACCTTTGCTGCCCAAGGGATTAATCTCACCAGGAATTTCAAGGCAGAGATTGAAGATCTCAAAGTTAAATTGGAAACGATTCAAGACGTCATAGAAGACGCCCAGAATCGCCAAGTAAAAGAACAGTCGGTCAGAAAGTGGTTGAAGCAGCTGGAGGACGTAGCTTATGATGCGGAAGATGTGCTGGATGAGATCACAACACACACTCAACTACAGAAAATGATGAATAAGAAGAGAGAGAAGGTACGCAAGTTCTTTTCAACGTCCTCTAACCCAGTTGTAGCTCACTTAAAGATGTCCAATAGGATTAAAGATATCAATGCATCTTTTGACAAACTTTTAATGCGAGCCAATGCCATCCAACTTGCGCGAGCAGCCGATAGGGGGCTCTGGAATGTGGTCGAATGTATCGAGACACCCATTCTGTTGTAAATGAGTTAGAAGTCGTCGGAAGAGATGATGACAAAGAGAAGATAGTAAACATTTTAATTAACAACGTCCCAAACGACGACCAGAACCAGAATGCTGCTATTTTAGTCCTACCCATAGTAGGAATGGGTGGTCTCGGAAAAACCACTCTTGCTCAATTGGTCTTCAATGATAAATCGGTGGAGGCACATTTTGATAAACGCATGTGGGTTTATGTGACTGAAAACTTCAATATTCACAAGATTTTAAAAGAAATCCTGAAGAGCCTTGTAGAAAGGAACACCTTAACAAATCTGGATGTTATTCTCCGCTGCCTCCAAGAGAATTTGGGTGGAAAGAAATTCTTACTTGTACTTGATGAGGTATGGAATGAAGAGCGGAGTAAGTGGGATATCTTAAAAGATTATTTGTTAAAAACCCAAGCAGCCAAGGGGAGCAAAATTGTAGTGACCACGCGCAAAGTTGAAGTTGCAAAAACAATAGGCACATTTCCTCTGCATCGTTTAGGATTACTATCAGGGGAAGATTGCTGGACCATATTCAAAAATAAAAAATAGAGCGTTTGCGGAAGGAGGAGCGCTAGAGACTCCAAAGTTGGTTGAAATAGGAAGGGAAATAGCAGATAAATGTAAGGGCTTACCTTTAGCCGCAAAGGCTCTTGGAGGGTTGATGTACTCAAAGAAAGAAGAAGAGGAATGGGTGTCTGTCCAAAACAGTGAAATCTGGGACTTATCTGAATCTGAATCATCTGGAATCTTACCTGCATTAATGCTGAGCTATGACCATTTGCCATCACATCTAAAACAATGCGTTGCTTATTGTTCCCTATATCCTAAGGGTTTTATGATCGATAAAATTGCACTTATTCAACAATGGATGGCACAGGGATTCATTCAACATCAAGGGTCGACATTGGGTGAAGGTAGAAAAGAAATGGAGGATATTGGCAATGACTATTTCAATCACTTGTTGTGGAACTCTTTCTTTCAGGATGTGGAGATGGACAGGTTTGGAGACATAAAAGCGGTGAAGATGCATGATCTTGTGTATGATCTTACACACCATGTTTCCAAGGCTGAATGCATAACATCTATAGAGAAAGGTCAGGATTTAGATAGAGTCCAAGGCAGAACTCCTATTACTTGTGATGATGTTCGACATATGTCAGTGCATCACCGAAAGTTAACAAAAATACTATCAGAGGCCTCCTCCTCATCAACATATGATCATCGGTTGTACAAATTGCGCACATGCATTGTGTGGCGTTATTATGATGAGGATGTTGAAGAGTTTCTTCAAAACTTTTCTGTTGACAAGAAGCTTTTCAAGTTTAAGTATCTACGATTCTTAGCTTTGGGACAACTCTGGGTTAGGCCTTGATTTCCAGAATCCATCAGCAAGTTGAAATTACTAAGGTTCTTGGACCTTTCAGGAAGCAAATGTGAAACATTACCCGAGTCTATTACCAGTCTCTGTAAACTACAGACACTAAGGCTCAAATATTGCAGGAGGCTTAAAGAGCTTCCTAAAGAAATGAGAAAGCTTATTAACTTGAGGCATCTTGATATATGGGGATGTATTAACTTGCAACAAATGCCAATCGAGATGGGGAGATTACGCTGCCTTCAGACGCTACCCATATTTGCAGTGGGTCAGGGCGTTGGACATGGTATTACAGAGTTGCAACACCTAATAAATCTAAGAGGTTGGTTATCAATTACAAAGCTGGAGAATGTGAGCAGTGTAAGAGAAGCCAAGGAGGCGAATATAAAGGACAAGCAAAATATCCAACGATTGGATTTGGTATGGGGTAGCTGGTGTAATTTGGATACCAACACCATCGATGATGATATTGAACATGATATACTGGAAGCCCTGCAACCTCACCCAAATTTGAAAGGGTTGCAAATTACTGACTTTAAGGGCAGTAGATTTCCTCTATGGATTATAGAGATCGATTCTTTCCTCCCCAATTTGGTCGAAATCTATCTAATGGCATGCTGGAGATTAGAAAATGTTCCCATGCTTGGCCATCTACCATTGCTTAAGGATCTTTGGTTACAGGAAATGGCGTTCAACTATATCCAGTTTCATGGAGTAGTCAACAATTGCAATAATAGAAATGCAGGTCATGGTGATGCTGGTAGTGGTAACCGAGCAAGAACGGTAACATTGTTCCCATCGTTGAAACACTTGTGGCTGATAGACATACCTAATTTAGTAGAGTGGAAGGAAGCTTCATCATCTTGCTCTTCTAATTCCATTTTCCCTTGCCTTGAGGAATTCACTATCGAGAATTGCCCTAAGTTGACAGTGACACCAAATCGTCTGTTTCCTTCTCTCGAGGCATTGGTGATTGAATCAAAAAATGCCTTATTGATAAAAGGAGGAGGATCCTTTGTAGCCAATCTCAGGTCTCTTGTTGGCCTTCAGATAATCAACTGTGAAGAGCTTACGGTACTACCGGAATGGTTACTCCAAAACAACAAAAATTCCCTCCGCCAGTTGCAAATTACCGACTGTCCCAGGCTTGAACCTATTCCCATGGAAAGACTACAAGTCCTCTTCACATCTCTCCAATGGTTGAACATAACCGGTTGCCCGTTAATGCCAGATGTTTCATGCTTGGATGACTTTCAGAAATTGTTAGGACAAGAAAGAAAATAATGCAACAAATTGAATTGGTTACAAGAGGGGATTCTCTTTTCTCGAGGAAAGAACCAGAAGGATAGTTCCTCCTTCCCTTTTCAGATGCACGAAGAATCCAGTTTTGATTGAGTTCTTTGGTGATTTCCCGACATTAAGTAATCAATTCATCATCATATAGATTTAAAGACTTCTACACTCTACGAAGAATCTAGTTTTCATTGGAAGGGTTTTGTTTGTTTGTTAGTAAATTGGAAACAACTACCAAATGACTTGTTTCTTTTTTTTGGCAAAATAGAGTGGCCTTCATTACTGAACCTATAAAGTTACATCGCTCGGAGCTTTTCGGCGGATTACTAACTGTCCTTTACAGGCCACATAGGCTAAGGTATGATCTGCTAATAAAGTTTGCGTTTCTATTTACATGACTGGTAGTGAAGTATTGAAAATATGATAATAGCTTTCTAATACGATACAAGTAGTACTTGTTTCTAACCAGTAAGAAGATTTCATATTACTATTCAAAAAAGAAAGTAGCTGAAGGGAGTCTGATGTGATGATTAATCTCTGAATTCCTTAGCTCTGAGCTGCATCCAACCCATCTATAAGAGCTCGAATTTCTGCATCATAACTTGCAGACGGCCCAGCAAGGTCGCCCTTGGGCTGCAATGGTTCCTCGTGTGGGGCATTTGATGATGTAGCTTCTTCCTGCAGGTCCTGTGTTAGCATTATATGAGCCATCAAAAGCCAGATGAGGTGTCAAATTTGCTGGGAGGTTCTGAGTAACTGCTGTATATTGTAGACTGTAGAGTATGATAATATCTAGTTTTTTGAATGATGTCCATTCATCCATTGGCGAGTAATGTTTGCCTTGAAAAATGGCCTTGTTTCTGGCTGTCCAGATTAAGTATATAAAAACACAAACCTTTGCTTGTCCAGATGAGCACTCAAGGATTTCATCCATTAATTGTTGTATAACTTCATGCGGTGGGTTGACTACCGCTGTGTCTGGGTTGATTCCCAGTTGACTTCCACACCATATTGCTCTTGCAAAAGGGCATGAGAACAAGTGATTACTTGTTTCTGTGGTTTGTTTACAGAATATGCAGAGGAGATCCTCATCTTTCAGCCATTGTTTACACTTGTCTTTAGTTAATTGCCCGTCCCATAAAAGCTTCCATGTTAACTGTATGCAACGGTAAGGAAATTTGGGGTTCCAAAGTTTTGGCCATTTGAAATGGGGGGCGGATGACGATGGGTTTGTGGAGAGAAAGGTTCTGTAAGCTGATTTGACAGTAGTGTATTCTCCACTGTTATTTCTTCTCCAGACTTGAATGTCTAAGCTAAGTTGTTGGTTTGGATGGAGACTGAGTATTTTTTGGGCTGTTTCATCATCGACCAAGTATCCTTTGGAGGTCTTGATTCCAAGTGGATCCCTCAATGAGAAGATCAGCAACTTTGGGTTGGTTTTCTTGCTGAGACATGGTGTGAACTGGATTTGGTCTTTGAAGATCGATATAGAGAGACCATCCTTGACTAGCCAAAGTGAGATGATTTTCAGAGTGGGGAGGAGCTTATGGGCTTGCTTCCACCATATTGAGCTAGATCTCTTCTTCTTGGCCGAAAATAAATCACCATTGGGGAAATATTTTTCTTTTATTACTGTACCCCGTATTGAGTGAGGTGCTTAAAAAAACTTAAATTATATATAGATGTATTGAGATTTTCATTTTTTCTATAAGAAATTCACATCAATCAATAATCAACTACGACTTGAAAGATTATTATTTTAAATTATTTGATTAATGATTTTTTTATTAGAACTTGTATTTCATTAATATGAAAATGTAGAATGGTATTATTGAAATGAATAATCACGCCAAATTATAAAATAAAATGTTAAATTGTTATTATTAATGGGTTGCTAAACAGTTTTTATTATTATCATGGCTCTTTTTTTTTGTGTAGAATTTTAATTTTTGAGCTTTGTCGACAGTAGTGGCCCTGGCCCAGGCCAGGAGCTGATCTGGCCCAGAGAAATAAACCCAGGCTTGAATTATCAAATTTGGCTACCTAGGAATAGGATGGACCTACTTTTGTTTTAGCGCAGGCCCCGTGCAAAAAAAAAAAAAAAAAAATCCAATGTGTAATATGTTAACTAAAGGATTAAAAATAAATGTAAATCTTACATCATTTGTCTTGAAAAAAAAATAATGAAATAAATCATAAGGGTGCAATTTAACTAGGCCAGACTTGTACTTTTATTGGGCTTGGATTATATTTATATAAAACCATACTTCTTAATTATTATATATGAATGTATATAAAAGTATAAAACATGTATACTAGTATAGAACAGGTTTTCAATCATATCTACTCTTATATTAGGCCATAAAATCCAATGAAAAATGACCATGTAAGACTATATATATTCATAAATTCTTTCAAATTCAACCAACCCACCCAAGCCCAATTCCATGCCAAATTATGTTGGGGTTAAGCTTTGCTTGGGCCTGGGATAATAAACTTGGACCTGACTTGGGTTGGACTGGGCTGATCTCGAGGTTAGCACTTTTAGGGTTGGGCTTGGGTTGATCTTCAACCTGACCCAACCCCCAAGTTGCACTCTAAATGTAAGTCAACAATAATGTATTTTGTAAATTAATTCATGTAATTCACCCACTAAATTAATTTAAATAAAGTTATCATATTTTGTTAGTGTAATAATTTGTAAAAAAAAAAAGAAATCATGGTTCCGCATAAATAAAAATGCTATAATAAATGACAAAATTTAGGGTGACCAATTCATTATATTCAATTATATTATAAAACATCTACATGGCAGTTAAATTTGGTAGGATATGATGTTACTTCTTTTATTTGTGAAAGGAGAAAAACCAAAATAAACACGAAAAGAAATCCTAAACTTTAAGGCGATGGAGTTAAAAAAAAAATCAAATTTGCCATATATCTCTCACCATTTCAATTGTATCATTGTGCAAGGAAACGAAAAAAAATCCATATCCTGTTGGTGAAATCTTGCACCACTTCATGGCAGTTAAATTCTTTTATTGCCAATATAGCAAGAGGTTGCCTTTTCTTTGTATTTTGTCTTTGCTCATCACGTCTGTAGATATGCAAACACTATAGCTCCCCCTGCCTTCTTTTCTTTGTAATTTGGATTCTTGTACTTGGGTTGGGGATGAACCACATTGTATAACTGAATCTTTGCTTGAAGACAAAATGCCTCCTAACCAGACATTTCTATTGAAGGAAAACAAGCCTTAGTGCCCAACTTAAAAAAAGAAAAAAATGGTTTCTTTATTTTGGAATTTTTTTCTTTTTTGGATGAGAGTATTGTACATTCTTTTTTAGGGTAAATACTAGAATTACATCATTATATGCATAAGACACTTAGGATCTATTTGGTTTACAGTTGGAATCGCAACCAAAATCGAAATCCTTCAGTAATCTGAATCAGAATGGTATTTCCATGTAGTCTCTTTGATTCAGATAGGACTCAGAATGGGAATTGGGATCAGCTGGAATAGGATTTCATTCCACCGTAAATGGGAATGGGATTCTGATTCCGCCAACCAAACAATTCCATTCAGATTCCACTTTCATATCCTTAATCCCGCAAATCAAACAGGCCCTTAAATAATAGATTTTTGAGATTTTCATTTTATATGAGAAGTTCAAATAAATCAATAGTTAATGATGAATTAAATGTTATTGTCATTTTTCATGTGATGCACGGGATTTATCGAAGAAAAGTGAAACAATCAAAACTTATAATTAATCTTTATTTTAACAATTTGTTATGAAAAAAATTTAGTAATTTAGTAATTTTGGATTAGTTATATCAATAATTTAAAAATAATAATAATAAAGTATTGCTAATTACTTGATACAATAATTATTATTTTTCCATATTATCTATTAATGTTCCATTTTATTTAATTCATTTTATTAATGATTAAATGCTACAATTTTTGTAAGTATTATTTAAATATTTGATATAAATATATAAAATATTAAATGTTCCAAATTGAGACTTGATGAACTTTGGGTTTGAATTGGTCAATCAGCACATGTTAAAATTTGATATAAATATATCTTTATATGTATGTATGTATGCATATATGTATGGTTTAGACCTGTTTATGGGCCGTCCTTGGGCTTAGTTTTTGCTAAAATATGATTGAGGCTAACTGGAAGCAGTATAAAATCTATATGGGTCTACCTCGAATCCCGCCTTTAAATTGGTCCAGTATGGCTTACCAGGATGGTTCAGTTTAAATAAAGGCTAGACCCAAAAAATAAAAAGCCCAAATCTATTTCAAGAACAAAAAATTACAGGTCGGATGGATCTGATCTCCAGTTGGGCCCACCTAAGTTGCACGCTGAGCTTTATGGGAGAAAACTTTATTCCTTTGGCCGGCCACATGGACTTCCATACAACATGTGTAGTGTGTGAACTAGATGCACCAAATTCTGCCAAAAAGTCAGCCACTGAATTAGAGGCCCCAAGGACAGTAAGAAACCAAACAATGATCGATGGAAGAAATCACAACCACCCAACAGGAGGCTTACTAAAATTTGAGAATCTCCCTCTAAAATGACATGTGAGAAGTGTAGATCGATCCTTAGCAAAGAGAGCACCAGCAAAGAAGGCATATGCCTCAGCTCAGCTCCGCAACAAGAAAAGAAAGCTAAGGCAATAAGACATCTCGTTTTTGGTAAAAAAGCAAATTTGGACTAACAAAAGGGAGGTTTGGTATTTATTCGAAAACTCAGTCAAGGGAGGTTTATGTATTTATCCCAAAAGAAGGGTTCTCTTCGTTTCTTTTCAAGGCAACTCTTCCTTTCCATTTTTTGGAAAAGAGGGAGCTAGGGAGGCATCTTTTTAATTTGTAGGATTTCTTTCTTCAATAAACATAATAAAAAAAAAACTCGGAGAGTGCTACACAGGTCTTTCTGCATATAGTTGATCCCTGAACTAAAATATTTGGAACATT